CTGTTTGCTTGTTTCCCTGCCTTCACTCTCTGGGCTCTCTGTCTCCAGGTTTGACTTGTCCCCTGCTGAGTTGAAGCAGTATGTCTTATTTGAACCTTGTCTAGGCCTGGAGAAGGCCCCAGAGGCCATGTTCTTACTGGGATCCGGAGTCTGTCCCCAGACAGCCCACTCCGGAGAGCAGATGTGTTGGCAGAGCTTGCTGAGAAAGTAAGTTAGATCAGAGCATCCTGTTTCCTGTGTATTTCAGCTGGGAGTCAGTATTTGACCAGGAAAATGTTGATGAAATTAAAAATGAATTGACAAATGTAGAATTTTTTTTGGTCATAGTCATTTATTAGCCAGGCACCAATGTCTTGTACCTGTAATCCTAACTGCTTACGAGGCTCAGGTCTGAGAATCCTTCTTCAAGACCAACTTAGGCAGACAAATCTAAGAGATTCTTATCTCTAATTAAACAGCAAAGAGCCAGAAGTAGTAAAGCACTAGCCTTGAATAAAACAACTAAAGGAAAGCAAGAGGCACTAAGTTCAAGTCCCAGTACCAGCACACACACACACACACACATACACACACACATGCACATACATATATACACATACACACATATATATACACACACATACATATATATACATAAACGCATACACACACATATATGGCTGGGCACTGGTGGCTCACACCTATAATCTTAGCTACTCAGGAGGCTGAGATTTGTTCAAAGCCAGCCCAGGAAAGTCCATGAACTCTTATTTCCAATAAACTACCAAAAAGCCAGAAATGGAGCTGTGACTCAAGTGATAGAATTCTAGTGTTGAGCAGATAAGCTCAGAGACATGTGCGGGCTCTGAGTTCCATCCCCAGGACCAGCACAAAAAATAAATAAAAATTTTAAAAATTAAAAATAATATCTTAAAGAATCACTTATTTCATTATAATAAAACATTAACAAGGATCTCAACCCAATGTTTACTGTAGGCCAGTGAGCATTCTGAATTAGAGAATTAATGAATTAATTAATAAACAGACATCCTTCTCACTGGAGATGTAATTCCCACAGCTCTGAGTTTCCCTTGGGCTCCAGCCTTCACTCCCTCACCAAAGGCCCTATGTAGCTCCCCATTCCTCTTCCTCATGGTCCATCCAGACCCCAGGAGAAGAAGGCCGTAAACTGTCAGAAGTATGAAGCCCACTGTTAAGGTGTGTCTTCCTGGGCTGGGAATGTGGCTCAGTGGTAGAGTGCTTGTCTAGATAGCATGCATGCATAGAAAAAGCCAGAAGTGGTGCTGTGTGAGGTTAGCCCTCAACTGGTAGAGGGCTAACCTTGAGCAAAAGAAACTCAGGGGCTGGGAAGGTGGCTCAGTGGTAGAGCTCTTGCCTTGCATGCCTGAGGCCCTGGGTTCGATTCCTCAGTACCACATAAGCAGGGGGGGGGGAGGCCGGAAGTGGTGCTGTGGCTCAAGTGGTAGAGCACTCGCCTTGAGCTGAAGAGCTGAGGGACAGTGCCCAGACCCAGAGCTCAGGCCCCATGACCGAACCCAAAAAAAAAATAAAGAAAGAAACTCAGGGACAGTACCCAGGCCCTGAGTTCAAGCCATACTACCAACACACACACACACACACACACAGACATACAACCCACAAGCTGATAGCCATGTGCTCCATACACCACAAATGTTTAGGTGAGACAACAGTGAGACTCAGTAAGGACTCGGGACAATAAGGACTTAGGAGCAATCTAGCAGTTCCTAGCCATGCGTGCTCTGTTTGGATGAGGGTTGCATTGGTGATGTGGGAAGATCCAGGCCTTCCTGCAAGTTGGGTTCTCTGTCAGGCTGCAGCCCTGCAGCTTGCAGGAGGGGGCGTGGGAGGAGAGTCTTGGAGCTGACAAGCTTTGCTCTGTGCTCTGTGTTTACATGTATTTGTTTCTCTCCTCTCTGCATGTGTCGTCAACAAAAGCTCCATTGTTACCTGCAGCATTCTCACAACAGGAAGCTGTGTGTAGCTGGCATAGCTAGCGCTGGCGGGTATGGAAGAGCATTGCTTCCACCCAAGGCAGCTCCCGGATCCCTCCTCCAGCCAGCTCATCCAGCTTGTGTGTGGCCGTCCAGCCAAGGAGCACATGGGCCCTGATTGCAGGGGCTGGCCTGGAGCTCCTGCTTTTCACCAGTTCCTGAAGACTGAGTCCAGGGCTGTGACAGCCCTGGGCCTGACTCTGTGAAAAGAAAAACCGTGGGGGTGTTGGGGGAGCCCCCAACCAACTCCCGGGGTAATGGCCGCGCTCAATTCTGCCTTTCACATTTTAATTGTACAACAGTAATTTGGCAGCAGAGTTGCCGATGGCAAACATGCAGAAGACATTAACTTTATTTATGTTTTAGATTATTAATGTGGCTGTTAAAATTCTTCCAGTTAGTTTTGATTGAATTGTTTTTTTGTGGGATTCTGTTGTTTAATGGAGCGGTAAATAAGAATTTCTGATAATGAGGCTGAGCATCTGTCACAACAACCTGGTGTAGGTTATTAACATTTCCATTAGCGGCAGGGTGGGCAGTGATAATCCAGAAAGCACACAGTTAGAACAAAATAAATAGTTGATGTCAGGCTGAGCGGGTGTTAATTACTATTTTATTCTATGTGGGGGGGGGGGCGTGCAGGGAGAAGTGGAAGTGGGGAGGGGCTCTCAGGGAAGAGATGACTCATGGGTCCTTCTCAGCAGTAGAGCCAGGGTATTGGGCCATCTCCTCACAGTGGCTGCTTTGTGGCCTCCTATAAACAGATTTGAAACAAAAGGAAGCCAAGGGGCTGGAAGGTGGCTCAGTGGTAGAGTGCTTGCCTTGAATGCATGAGGCCCTGGGTTCAATTCCTCAGTACCACATAAGCAGAAAAAGCAGAAGTGGTACTGTGGCTCAAGTGGTAGAGCTCAAGCCTTAGAGCTCAAGCCTTGAGCTGAAGAGCTGAGGGACAGCGCCCAGGTCCAGAGCCATGACCAACTCAAAAGAAAAAAAAAAAAAGGTAGCCAAGTGGCAGTGGCTCATACCTGCTACTCAGGATGCTGAGATCTGAGGATCAAAGTTCAAAGCCAACCCTAACAGGAAAGTCTGTGAGACTTTTTTTCTTTTTCTTTTTCTTTCTTTTCTTTTTTCTTTCTTTTTTTTTTTTTTTGCCAGCCCTAGGGCTTGAATTCTGGGCCTGGTTGTTGTCCTTGAGCTTTTGTACTCAAAGCTGGCACTCTACCACTTGAGCCACAGCCCTACTTCTGGCTTTTTGTGTAACCACAAATTGGAAATAGAGTCTTACAGACTTTCCTGCCAGGGCTGGTTTCGAACCACAATCATCAGGCCTAAGTCTCCTGAGTAGCTATGATTACAGGCAAGAGCTTCCAGTGCCCAGCTCTCTGTGGGACTTGTATCTCCGATTAACCACCAAAAAGCCAAAAGTGGAGCTATGGCTCAAATAGTATAGCACTGGCCTTGAACTAAAAAGCAAAAGGACAGGTACCCATGCCCTGAGTTCAAGATCCAGTACTGGCACAACAACAAGAACCAAAAAGAAAAAAACCACCAAACAAACAAAAGGCAGCCAGCAATCCTAGGCCTCCAGGGTAAGGCCTCTTCAGAGTCAGGCCCCCAAGATAACGCCACACAACTCACCAATCTGGCTGCCCAGACTGCTTCCAAGAGAAGGAACTAGCTTCCAGGAGACAGAAAACAAAGTGTCATGAGAAAGTGTTCATGCGCAGCGTGAGGCGCAGGCCTGGGACAGCGATGGTCCAGCCACGGGACCATGTGCTCTCTGCATTGCTCACAAATCCTTAAGTGCTGTGTCTTTGCATGCTCCATGTGCCTGTGACAGGACACAGTGCCCCAATGGTGGGAGGAGGGATGGCGGGAGGAGGGCAGACTTGGTGCTCAGATCTGAAAAGGAGCCATGTTCTCAGAAACCTGACTCCCTGTCTGCTTGAAGGGTCATCTCTGCAGACACTTCACCTCCAACATGGGTGTCACAGTGGGCCACCTGCATTTGTCATAGCAACACCGGTGGCTCTCTTTCCTGTCACCTCTGTCTGAAAGCCCAGTCCTGGTGGTGCCCCTCATCCAAGGAGCCTTAGGTCTCTGCTGCCCTCTCCTGTGTCCTCATCCCTGTTGAGCCTCTGGGGCGGCCCATTCAGGTCTGAGCACTGGTAGCACGTGCACAGTGCCCTGGCATGTCTGTTTCCTGACTCTGCTGACTGTGTCTCAGTAGGACCCATTCACTTTCCAGTTCTACATATTTTGGTGTGTGCATTTAAGAATGTTCTGAGAAGCCAGGCGCTGGTGGCTCAAGCCTGTCATCCTAGCTTCTCTGGAGGTTGCCATCTGAGGATCATGGTTTGAAGCCAGCCCAGGCAGGAAAGTCTGTGAGCCTTATCTCCAATAAACAGCTTAGAAAAAGAAGTGGTGCTATGGTGCAAGTGGTAGAGTGCTAGCCTTGAGCAAAAAGAAGCTCAGGGAGGGGCTGGGAAGGTAGCTCAGTGGTAGAGCACTTGCTTTGGATGCATGAGGCCCTGGGTTCGATTCCTCAGCACCACATATGCAAAAAGAAAAAAGCCAGAAGTGGCGCTGTAGCTCAAGTGGTAGAGCGCTAACCTTGAGCTGACGAGCTGAGGGACAGCGCCCAGGCCCAGAGTTTAGGCCCCACGACTGGACCCTAAAAAAAAGAAGCTCAGGGACAGCTCCCAGGCCCAGAGTTCAAACCCCAGGACTGGCAAAAAAAAAAAAAAGGAGAAGAAGAATGTTCTGAGAGACTACACAGCATTCCCTGGTAATAAAGGGCTCAGAGCAGCAAGGACAGGGTTAGGAGCTGGGGAGGGCATGGTCCGCAGGCCTCCCAGGGCCAGGGCTATGTCTGAAGCAGAACTTCCCATGGAACTAGGACTTGTGCGCACCAACTGGGGTGGGGGAGCTGCGCTGAGAGACCCCCTCAGGGACCCCCATTCACACAGTGCACTCTTCTTTCCTCAGCCCCTGCGATGGCCCCACAGAACATCCAAGTGACCCCGCTCTCTGCCAGCCAGCTGGAGATCACATGGGAGCCCCCACCCCCAGAGAGCCAGAACGGGAACATCCAGGGCTACAAGGCAAGCTCCGGTGCCGCTGCCCAGGCTCCCAGGACCCTGCTGCTTTCTTAGTGGTGGGCACCTGGCTAGCATAGGCAGCCTGGGGCCACCTCTGGGAAGGAAATCTGCCTGGCTTGGGGACCAACCCTGGGAGCGGGGGTGGGGGGTAGGCTCACCCAAAGATGCTCTGGGCTTGTCCATCCTGCTGAAGGAATCCAGTGCCCACTCCAGTTTCCAGCACCTTCTCTGAGAATAACAGGAGATGAGATGTCCTCAAAAGAACAGACTGCCCATCCTAACACTGCCCGTGGTCATTAATGCACACTGACTAGCTCTCTCCATGCAGGGAAACTAAGAATTGCCTTTCCAACAAGTTCCCATGTGGCATGGAACCCGTTTGAGAACCACCCCCACTAATATAGTCCAGGCCCACAGTAGCTAAATGGCTATAGAGATGGAGGGAAAGAGAGAGAGCCACAGTGCCAACAAGAACTTTATCCAACAGGTATGGAGCTCCACACTGCTGCTGCTTCTTATCCTCAAGACTTTGTGGCTGGGAGAGCTTAGGAGCCCTGCACACCTGTGAAACATCCCCAGAGGAAAAAAAAATCCAGTGAAAATGCCCCCCATCCTTCCCCAGAATTAATCTCCCTGTCTGGCCAGGTAGAGGCCCAGTTGATCAGTTTTCAGATTGCCAGGGCCAGCCTGCCCCGATGACTATCGGACCAATTAAATGTCCATTTAAAAATGATTTTTGTAGGTATTTTATGAAAATTAATACCTTCCTCCACGGCCCAGCTGTTACAGTGATTAACGAGGTAATGGGAAGTCCTGTGAGCTCCTAGGCAAGGTGCCATTTATGGATGTCCAAAATATGTTTTTTCATTTCCTTAATGATAAAGACATTGAGCTGGGATATTGATCTCACGTTAGCATGGCCAGTGTACGCCACAAGCCTTCCGTGGTCCGCTCTGCAGACAGATGTGCACCTGTCTCCTGCATGTGGAAGTCAGCAACTCTCACCTGTGGGACCTACACCAGCACGGGCATGGCCTGGGAGCCTCTTCATGTTGCTCCCATGGCCCAGCTCACACTCAGGCTCACAGAGCCAGCGGGGCCTCCAACTGGTGGTGTCTTTTTGGGCAGTCCAGGTGACATAGGCTGGGCACAGTAGCTCCCAGCCAGCTGTCTAGGAAGTCATTCTGGCAACCAATTCAAACCTTTGAGCTGGGACATCAGGTTTCTGTGTGAGAATCTCAGTGGCAACTGAGAAGAAATGCTATCTAGGGCTTTCCTACCAGCTCTGAGCTTAGTGTGGGTCTCTTTCCAGTTGTTGTTTGTTTGCCTCTTTGTTGTGTTTTAATTTCCCAAGTACTTTTGCTCCACTGATCAGAATCTTAGATGTTACAGGCATGGTGGCTCATGCCTGTAATCATAGGAGACATCAATTGGGAGGATCATAGTCTGAGGCTAGTCTGGACAAAAAAAAGCAAGATTCCATCTCAACCAACAAGCCAAATTTAGCAGCCTGTGCCTGGGATCCTAACCACATCCTAACCAGGCCTGGGTAGCTGTTGCTCCTGGCAGCTAAAGGAAAAGAGCTCTCCCACCCTCAGACCCCTATCTTGAACAGTGTAATTAGGCAAGTACCCTTAAGCCCCAGATAAGCAACTCAGAATCACTGACCATTGTCCAGCCTATTAGACACACAACTGTCACACCAGCCTCTGCTGCTACCTGTCCCCTGGGAGAAGGTGACCCCACTCCCCATCCTTGGGCTCAGCTTCCCCAGGGCCCACCCCCAGCCTGTGCTCCTCCTCACAGATTTACTACTGGGAGGCAGACAGCCAGAATGAAACTGAGAAGATGAAGGTCCTGTTCCTCCCTGAACCCATGGTGAAGCTGAAGAACCTCACCAGCCACACCAAGTACCTGGTCAGCATCTCTGCCTTCAATGCAGCAGGTGATGGGCCCAAGAGCAAGCCTCGCCAGGGACGCACCCACCAGGCTGGTGAGTTGGGGAGGAGCGGGGGTCATTTCCCCGGGGTTCATTTGGACCAGTTTATCAGTTTGAGGTCAACCAGTGCTGGGTTCCCCAGGGAGAATGAATCTTACTTTCTCCTGGTCTCCACAGCTCTCTGTCCTGTGGTTAGGGCACAGGGGAGGTAGAGCCAGGTAAGACTTCCTATTCCCTGGTGTCTGGCCCCCAGACCATGTGGTGTGCTAAGTCAGTGTTAGACAAGTTGGAGCAATGTATGTTTTCTCAGAAGTTCTGGAAAGCAGCAAAGGAAGGCAGGACCTGGGGTCACCTCATTTCTGAACAACCAGGTCCTAACTAGCCCCTTCTAGAAGCTGTGTTCATATGCCTGGGCAGAGCTCCTTCTACATTGAGGCCAGGCCTCAAGGCTAGGCTCTCCTGAGTTTGGAGGCCCATAGGTCACCCCCAGCACAGCTCAGCAGTCACCTCTCTGTCACACATCATGGTTCAAAGGACATGGGGACAGAGGCCAAGCAGGAGGAGGCCCCCAGGCCATCTGTACTCCCTCACAAGGGAATGTGCATGCCTGTGGGAGAATCTGAGCCAGAAGGGCATGGGGAGACTCACAGAGGGCAGGGTTTGGAGCCCAATTGGGGCCTAGTGCCTGAGAAGTTCTGAGGCTGAAGGAGCCAGGGATAGAAGGGGAGCAAGGAGGAAGGGAGACACTGCTTCTGGAGAGTTTCTGAGCAGCAGGGGTCAAGCGGAGGCCAGGTGTCATGCTGCCTGCACATAGCCAAGGCAGAGGGTACAGGAGCAGGCCCTGAGTTGCCTGTTGCTGCACCTCAACTTTCTGCTTCCGCCAGCAGCTCCCATGGCTCTGCCAGCCTCCTCTCGCCCTCATTCCAACAGGGCTCAGAGCCACAGTGTCAGAGAAATTGAGATGGAAAGACAGGCTGTCCTCTGAGACCTCCAGGACCCCGTGGAGGAGAGGGTGTGGGGGAGGGCAGGAGAGGGAAGGGGAGGAAAGGAAGAAAGGCTCCATCTACCACAGAGCTCCATCTCTCTGAAAGAGAGCATGGCAGGACCCTCAGAATCTTGCAGCCACGATTGGAACCAGAACTATCTGCATTTCCTTTTCTGTTTCCATCTATTATTCATTTGTATGCCTTTGACAGTTCGTCTCTCCTCTCCTTTGTGTTTAAACTCCGTGGTTTCTCCTGCTCTTCTCAGGAGGGCCTGTGCTTCTGATTGATCCTGGGGAGTTCGGAGGTGATCAATGAAGCTCCTTTTCATCCTGTGCCATTTAGACTTCTACACCTAATCACATTCTCTCTTCTAGATGAGGGCACAGACGTGTGCATGATCCATAAAGGAGCAGGAGTGACAGTCTCTTTGTGCTCTCTGCTTCCAGCTCCTGGGGCTCCCAGCTACTTGGCTTTCTCAGAAATAACATCTACCACACTCAACGTTTCCTGGGGTGAGCCCCTGGCGGCCAATGGGGTCCTGCAGGGCTATCGCGTGGTGTACGAGCCGCTAGCACCTGTCCAGGGTAAGTCTGGGGAGGGCTGTGGCACTCCGCAATCCACATAATAAGGCTGTTTGGTTTCACTTTCGGGCAGAGAACCTTCTAGCAGCTCAATAGGTGAAGAAGAGGCTGAACTGCACAGGCCTTTGGGCTCTGGGCCCAGCATGATCTTGCTTATGGGAGGGTGCCATGCATGTCCCCTGACCTGGTGTGCGACACTTGATGCAACTCTCCCCTTCCTCATAGTGTTCCTGTCATACTGGTCATTGGCCTCACCACCTCAGGTCCACTCGGACCGACATGGGCAGTGTTGGCCCTTAGGATGTCATCAGCATCCCCAGAGACACCAATAGCTGTTGATCCTAGACAGCCGCCGGCCTCTCTTTTTTCCATCAGTTCCTCAACTGGCAGCCAAGTGCTGCTCCAGAAGCGAGAATCCATGCACCCAGGAGAACAAAGGTCCAGACTGATTCATGCCCGAGACCCTCTGTCTCTTCCATGTAGCTCGATTATGTGCCAGGACAGAGATGCAGTGTGCACATACTTACAGCTACATGCCCAAGTGTGCCCCTGACTGGTGCTGTGAAGCAGAGGGCTGGGATCACTCACATGAGACGCTATCATCTGAGTCCCAGAAGAGCCTGGGATGTCAGGAAGGATGTTGGGCCACCAACAGGACAGGAAAGACCACCCCCAAGTGGCGACAGAGACCCCCAAGAGAGGCAGTGCGTGGTGTGGGAGAGCAGCAGGGCAAGCAGCAGGCCAGAGGAACTACTGAATGGGCTGGACCCCTACCCCCCACCCCCCAACGCCCAGCTAAATACTGAAGTCTAAATACCACAGCATGGAAAGAGAGCTATTGATCCCTCCAAACTCCCTAGATCAATCAGAAACAGCCCCTGTGTGCAGTGAGGAGGGATACTTTAAACACAAAGGCACCTAGAGAAGAAAAGGCAAAGGCCAAGAATGAACAGTAGATGGGTCAAAGGAGGGAATGCGAATGGCTTTGGGATGGGTAGGTGGCAGGGGTCCCCAGGTGGGTGAATGGGGGGCTGCTGTGGAAGAGGGGCTGCTGGCGGGGAAGGTGGGCAGGAGAGAGGAGGGCGTTAGAGATGTGGATGGAAGGAGGAGCCAGTGGAATATGCCCAGACTGGACACAAGGCCAGGAAAGGAAATGAAGCGAGGCCCCACAGCTCGCTCACATAGCAGGTGCTAGTGTACCTGCCATGTGGAAGTGTGGCTGTCTCTGATGGTGTTTTAATTCCTTTCACAACCATCTCTCTGATCTACTATATTACTCATGTAATCCACTAAGGCTTCTGAAACATGTGTTCATCACCCTACTATGTGCCCAGAGACAAATCCAGAAGTTTCTGCCCCACAGCCCAGAGTAATATGTACAGGCAGACTGTAAAAATTATAGATTATTTAATGTCTAGGAGGAAAAAAAATATATATATATATATATATATCCAGCACATCAAATAATATTGGCTCTCCATTTAAAGCTGTGATAAAAGTTTCCTTTTAAAACAAGCACATTCAGATGAAACAGGGTTGATTTGCAGGAGGGCATTTAAGCACTGGATTTTATTTCGTTGGATCTAAGATGCCATCGACTGTAAGATTCATCGTTATTTTATGACATGCTAAGAAAGAAAAAATGCTCCCAATAAGCCATAATCTGGTACTCTTGCATCGTCAGTTCTGAACTGCATCCCAAATCAGATGTGGAAATCTGAGCAAGAAGAAAAGCAGCATGTGTGAGGCCATAGGTGAGCTTCGGCACATGACATTGGGGGTGATCTGCACACATGGTTTTCAGAACCCAAGAGGGCACTAGAGACCCCGACTGATGTTGCCAGGGCATGTTGTTCTCCCCAGGGCCTGGGGCATGTGATAAGCCACTCACCCCTCCTCCCTGCACAATGAGAATTCCCAGAGACCTTGCCATGCTCCCTGCCCAGGTCCCACATTTTCCCTGACACACAGGCTCTCGCTCAAGCATACACACACACACACACACACACACACACAAATAGGTTCACGTCACACCCAAGCCCAGAGCACAGACATCTTTCCCAGGACACACAAACTACATCTGTTCACATGAGGAATAATTAGGAAAGCCATGGCTAGTCAATCCACAGGTCCTTCCTGTTCAGAGTCCTTTCAGATTAGCAGCTGCCTGTCCCTCATGCCAGGTCACGACCCTCCCCCGCAACCACTTCCCCCCTCCCATCCCTGGGCCTGCAGGCCTGGGCTCTTCATGTTTTGCTGTGGAAGCGGCTGCTCTCCGGGTGGGGAGCTCTGTGGATCAGTGGGAAATTCTGCACCACAGGAGACACTCTGCAGAGTGTGTTGTGATCTCCACCTCAGGCACTTCTGCACCTGGGTTTCTATAAACCTCCCATCACCCCAGCCTCCCAGAGTAGGAGACGCTGCTGAGTTCTCCTGCTGGGGCCAGGATTTCTGTTTCTGCCTCCGTAGTAAAGTCAGAGCATTTGCAAGGTATGGCCAGGCACCCATGCTCCCAGTGTTCCACACACCTGTAGCTGTCTGTGGACTGTAGACACAGACCCGCCAAGAGTGGTACGGTGAAGGGCACTCAATGCCAGGCTGGCCCTGTATTGCACAAGGACCACTCGTTCACTTTTTTTAAAAAAATTGTTTTTCATTTATTAGCTTTTTATGGAGAAAGTAGGCTGGGACCCTTTCATTCCTGTGCCCCTTGAGAGCTGCATCTTGAGAGCTAGGAGAGGTGAGAATGGAACCCCAGTGGGCCAGTCCCCGTGTGGAGATCTGGACTGCCACGGTGGAGGGTGGGGGGAGATGTCAGGAGCGCTCGTGTTTCTGAGCTGTGAAGGTTACAGGGAGAAAGAGGCTCCCAGGATTCCTTAAGGCATCTCATATTCCAAATTGCTGGCTGCACAGCTGGGTGTGGCCTTGTCCCTCCAGGGTGATGACAGGTGTGATCACATGAGTCACAACCATTTTCGCCTGTGTTCACAAGTGCTAAGACCAGCTGTCACCAGCACTGAGAGAGCTGGCTCCTTCCTTCCATCTATGCTGGATATCCCTGGCTTCTGTGCCCCGTACTTTGTGCATGAGAATGGAGCAGGAGGGGGCTGAGCCTTGAGTGCCTGGCAGCCCTTGTGGTTGGAAACAAGCCAGCCAGACCCCTGGTGTCTGATCCCAAACCCTTGTGCGCACCTCATGGCAGATCCACAGCACTGGTGGCAGGAAGTGCCTGGCCCAGCACCATGACCCTAGTACTCAGCGCCAGGGCCCCCAGGCCTCCTCTACTCCCACACAGACCCCACCACACCCCATGCCTCTGTCCCTGCTCCAGTCAGTGGAGAGGCTACCTGCTTGGCCTCAGACAGCAGGCCACAGGCTGGCTTGGGACAGAGCTCACCTACCAACTCCCAGTACCCCCTGGGGACCTGTGAGCCGCAGGAGTCCCCGCCCACTACAGATGGCAGCAGTTTTTTTGTGTTTTTTTTAATTTTTATTTTTATTTTTTGTGAACATATTGTACAGAGGGGTTACAATTACACGGGCAAGATAATGAGTACATTTCTTATCAAGCATTGCAGCCTCCTCCTTTGTTT